ACATTTTTAAACATATTGTTGTCGCTATTCTAAAAAAGGTTTAAATTTAATTTATGCCTGGAAATTATACATTATAACAATATCACATTTTTAATTGAAACCGGTCCCATTGTGAGTGAGTTTCTGGAATTCCTTCTCTGGTTAATAAGTTCTTCTTCTTTTTGCCGTAAAGTTCTATTTGTAAGAAAGTTCTAGCTTAATAATATAATTATTATAGCCAGAGTTAAAATGATGTAACGAAACGCACAAATTCCACCGTTTTATGTTTAATACTTAATATAATTTATTTCTTAAGATGTCAAGTCCATGTGCGATATAATTTTTCTGAATTTAGAATACAGTCTGCTTTTGTTTCTTGTGCAATCAGAGAGGTCATTTTAAATAAAATTTGAAAACAAAATCCTATAAAATGTTTTGTATGAAACAAATGACTTGTTATAAGTAATATTAGGTTTCTGCGTAGGAATGAAACTTGATATCAATAAGGAATGAAACTTAATATCAATAGGAATGGGGCACCCTTGCTAAAACACAGATCCGGGTTGACTTACTGGGTTGCATATGTGGTTGTGGTTCTCTGGCCATTCTCACCATACATTGATATCCAAGAAATTATTTCCGTTGCAAATTCAAACACAGCATTCCTTTGTCGTCATCGTCGTCTTTGCTTATACAATTCGGCCTGAAAATTTAAATTAAGATCTTATACTAAAACATCAATATCCGGAGCAATTTTTACCATATTTGGTACAATAAAGGCAAACGAATTCAAAACGGTTTAACCGCTCAATTTTCACGTTATTATTTTCATAGCACTGCAAACAGATTGGGGCAAAATGAAAATGGCTTAGAAGATAGATTAAGGATTTTAAAGATACTTCTTGAACTTATTTCTTTAAATCATTTTCCGTCCTCTGTTCCTCTGCCAATAGTTGATAGCTGAGACCAGTAATGTCGTTAATTGTTTCAATTAGCGTAAGGGGCATTTTTCAAGGCGGTATAACTTCACCAATTATGTTCAGTCTTTTTTAATTTGATTAAGGAACATTAAATTTTATTTGAGAAAATTTAGGAATGGATGGTAAAAAACATTTTGAAATCAAATATCATTGTAATTTGGCTTATTAATTGCAGATGACGCGGCGGGGCCGTTATCTGTTTTGAATCTGTTCAATAGTTTACAAAGAAATTCCCTTAATAGTTTTAGGAAAAATATTGTAACGAATGGGCTATTAATTGATACTAAGCCTTAGATTGTTGTTGTTTCAGGAGAATATAATTTTATAAATGGGGGGATCAAATATAGAAGAGTTGGTGGAAAACGTCAATTTTTTTAGGAAATAATTTTGTTCTCTAGCAGCAGTTCATTCAAACCAGCGACCAACATACTCAAAAGTAAAGCACTAAAGGCTTTGAGCTCATTATTAAATGTAACAAGAGATAAGCAAGTTCCCTTTGATAGTATGTTTAACCTGATTGATGCATATGTTCAACCAATTCTAAATTATAGTTGTGAGGTGTGAGGTAACGTGCCATCGGAAAACTTGAAAATCGTGCACAGGAAGTTCTGTAAAGTTTTGTAAATGGTGGATTACTGCGAAAATGTCAACAAAACCACTTTTATTGTTTGCAGCAGAAGGCCGATTCCCATTATACATTTCACGACATACATGTAAAAATTGTTAAATATTTTATAAAACTATATCCAAATAAAACAATCAATTGTATATTAAATTATATAGTATATTGTCAAAATCTAATACTATAAATTGGTTGTCTAAAATCAAAGCACTCTTGCAAAATGTTGGATTCAATGATGTGTGGATATATCCAGAATCAGTAAAGATAAAGATATTCATACCTGTCTTACATGGTCGTTTAAAATGTATTTTTAGCACACATTGGCATTCTAGTGTACATATTTGTTCTTCTTTGTTCTTGTATATAGTCTGATTTTATTGACCTGTCATTTATGAATACATCATAGGACTCATTTAAATATTCGATCCCACTTCGGTTTGGTTCGTGTAGTTTACGAGAATTAATGTGGAGTATATTAGTCATGGATTGAAAGTCACGCCAGTTTAATGTGAAGGTTTTCGTAAATTCACAATAGGACAGTCGGTAAAGAGAATGCCTGATAATTGAGAGGTCTGTGGTTCGATCCTTACTGTTGCCATTGTTTTAGTACTACTTTCTTTTATTTTTGGCTGTAAATATTTCAATGGAACAGATTTGTAGTGTGTTTTTTGCGGCATTGGAAAAGACATTTTATTGATTTTAATCGGTTTTAATTTTAAACATGAATTCTTAAAAAACAAGTTATTTAAAAAGAGTATATACATAACAAAATTAAGTAAAACATAATAAAAAAACGAACAACATAAAAATATCATAAAAATTATATAGATTCAATAATGTTGAAAGTATTAATAAGAAAAAAACATGGACCAACGAGGCCTCGAAATTAAAACACGTGTGGTACTTAGATTATAAACTCGTGATTTACCCTATTGCGCTATAGCTATGAGTACACTTAGTTTAGAGATACAAATTAAATTAAATTCCATCGTACAGCGTACATCTCACGGAACTTACCGAACATCTACCGAAGATTAATATACTGTGTGCATCAACCGTGTAATCAGTATGTAATTGACAGGTTAATAAAACCAAACAATAAACATATTAAAACCGATTTTAGCAGATAAACATGTTAGAAAATGTTGACTTTATAAAATTAAGAAATAGTTTTGCTAAACTCAGATTATCATCTCACAATTTATTCATAGAAACAGGTTGAGTTAATTATATTGATATAAATGTGATTTTCATGAAAATCGTTAGTCCTTTATTTATCTAACGGTGTTTTGCCATTGTGCTCTGTAGTGATCACATATTTAAAATGAACATGCAGATTAAACCTTAATGCGACATAATTGATAACAAGGCCAATTATATATAAACGGCGGGCTTATTAAAACTTCAAAAGACGTCGCCGATGTGCGCCTTCTATTTAAAAAATGAAACATAACGGAACGAAGAATAAATGCATGTGATAATCTGCCAGTGACCCGCAGAGAAAACTTTTTGATGACAGATAGATAGATAGATATAATTTATTGACGTATACATATTTGTACATAGTCATAATACAAAACACGTAATACATAAATCATAAGTCATGGTACGATCATAATGAAAACAAACATTGTTAAACAAAAGTATATATGGAGAATGTTCTTAAATCCATATTTAAACAATACAAAGTTGGCATTACTCTTATTAAAAAGTTGCAAAAATGACTTTCATATATTTAAGCAGATTTAAATAGTTATGTAGATTTATAGTTATTTATAGTTAGTATACAGATATTGTGTATGTTTCTTGATATGTGTATGTTTCTTGATATGTGTATGTTTCTTGATATGTAAAACAGGTACAATTGATAAAGTATAAATGTATTAAAGATACACTAAAGTGATATAAATTACATAAGTTGACTTTGTGTTTTTCATATTAACAAGGTAAACTTTATCATACAAGTTAGGTACTGTATCTTCCTTATACACAATCATTCCTTTTGCTTCTTGATTGTACCTGGATTGATATCAAATGTGTAAACAAACTTTTATTTCGTATGAATGTAAATGTAATATGTTGATCTTGTGTTTTGTTTCGACAAGATCAAGATATTATTATTGACAAGAATCCCTCACTTATTTTTGATGAAATATCTTTTGAGAGTTAAGTATACAGTATAGATGCAATTGCGTGTATTCATAGTAGATATTTTTCATGTAATGGGTTGAGTTGTTATACTATATATTGCATGATATTATCAAATGCATTTATAATTTAGCCTAAATGTGCTTAGAGAATAGAGTTTCGGTTTTCATTTTGTGCAATGTGAAATTTCACATGAGTATATGTTACATTTTCCTCGAAATTAACATTTTATGCGGTACAGTATGATATAATTCGATTGAAAGAACCGTAGATATCTTGTTCTAAAATATCTGAAAAAATTTCTCATAGTAAAATTAAAGTTATATCCAAGTGGAATTTGGTAAGAATATCTGATGTCATACTTATTAGGAAGACATTTAATTATTTGCAACCTTTTCCGCTGTTTAAATTGTTTTGTACATTTATGCTATATACTGTCTTGCCATATTAAAATGCATTGTATATCCTCATGGGCTATAATTGTAGCCTTATGGAATATTGAAAATAAACTTATCAAACTTATCAAACTTATTTAATATGTAGTGAATCAACGATTAAAATTACATGATAAATACCATACTGTCGCTTTTTAATGAGCAAAATTATCATGCGCATACTGGTAAAAATAGTCTTTAAATGGTAATATTAATAAGGTCATATCGACGCTTAGTAGCAAAGATGATGTATTTCGCAATCCAATTAATTCGGATTTATTTTTTGACTTCAAAAGCTGCAAAAATTTAAACATACTCGGCCTTCTGTAAAATATGGCTTAATGAACTCCCTACGTAATGCAGTATAACAATTGCAAATGATAATAAAATGAAACCACATTGACACCACATGTATGATTTATGGGTGCTGTGTCTCTTTTACACTTTACGAAAATTTACACTGTCGAAATAGACTGATTAAATGTAGTTGATTTGCTTTAGTAAATGTATTATAATTCACTTGAAATACTATAATTCTATTGTACAAATGATAATTTCAGATACTAAATTTAGCTAGTTAAAGGGTGTCCCGTTCTCCTGCGGAACCGATTTACTAGCGAAACGTACACAGTTGAATAACATACGTGACTGTGACTGCACGAAATACGAAACTGTATGCTTGATGGTTAAACCATTGAGTTTCATCTTGATAGTTCAAAAACTGCTAACTTGAATAGTCCATTTAATAAATACAACAGCTCATGATCAAAGGTCAATCAAATCGTAATTTTTTCAACAAATTGTACTCACAACCTGTTTTTTTTATCTCGCCTTCACTATGTAACAATAGTCGGCTGACATTAAGGAGTTCCAACATTAATCTTATACATGCAGGTCAATGTGAATGATAAGACATCATAAAAGTTCACTTTACACCAGACAAGACACGTAACAACAAAAGAATGAAACTTCTTATTCTAGCCTGCTTTTTACAAGGTTTGTCAATATTTCATTTTTTGTAGATATTTTAGCTTGATTAGCGTGGCGGAAATATATAATTTACAAACAATTATCTAAAAAATAATAGAATAAGTAATGATTTATGATAGCCGTACAAACTGGCAGTAATGAAAAGTAACATAACATTGTCATATACAGTATAGTAAAGATATAAAAGATTTTTTTTATTACATGAATTAAATATTTTTGCCATAAGTATTTCAAACATTGATAAGCAATTAGAACAAATACCATTTGGAAATTTTTATATGTATTGAAAAAAACGTTGATAAAATTTTAAGTGATTAAGTATGAAAATTTATATGATATATTAAAAATGTCTTCAATCATCTGCTTTATATAAATATGTAACATCATGCATCTGAATATTTACTAACAACATACATATAGTTATTTCGTGGTTTCTAGTATGATACTAGATATTATCAAATAGTATAATGGTTTTGCATATCTCCTGTTTTAGAGCAATTCTCTCTGAAATAAAGACTCATATTTCGAGTTATACAGTACGTTTCAAGTGTGCCAGTGAACGTTATAAAATGATGCCTGTTTTTTAACTTAGGAACATTAAATCATCTAAAATTGCTTCCTTTGTTTGTTGTTTATTATAACAGTTGTAATATTATATTATATTATTTATTTAAAATTTATTTATCAACCAGGATGTTTGGGAGCTGCTCTTGTAGAGAAGAGAGCCATGTGTGCGGACATCTGTCCTGCTGTCTACTCCCCGGTATGTGGCTCGAACGGAAAGACCTTTTGTAAGATATCACAAATATTTTTTACACATACAGCAATCTAAGGATTTGATATATAGTTATGATAAAAACTGAAGCTTTAAATATAGAAAATATACAGAGAAGTTATGTCAACAAGACGCGATAATAGCAATTCGAAAGTCTTTTGAGAAGAATTTTGAATCAGATACAATGTATTGAATTTTAAACTTTCAGACGTGTATTTCATAATTATATTAGTGTTCTGTGTTATTTTTGTGTTCTTCAGAAAACCATGTGATAAACCTACTAGTTATTAAAATCCAGTTTCTTTTAGGGGTCGGACTATATTGTGTTTATCTATTCAGTTATCTGCTAACATTAAGGCGATGTTTTTTGTTGTTGATGTTGTTTTTTTTTTCCAGATAACCCAGATAACTTGAAACAAATGTCGTCATTAAATTAAGTCGGAAATTTTCTAATCTGTCTTTGTATTTTTTATTGCTGGGGAATCTTTTTCGTGTATCTAAAATGTTGGCTTATGAAATAAGAATTAATATACCTTGCAGCAAATCGATGTGAACTGAATGCTGCCACATGTCACGACAGTACGATAACCTATGTTAGTGACGGCAGATGTGGATCTTCACACGCCATCAGCATTTGTCCCCAGCTAGCTTGTATACGTGTTTACGACCCTGTTTGTGGTTCAGACGGAAAAACATACAGTAAGTTTTCAAAGTCGTGTTATCATGATTATATATGATATCTTTTGTCGTGTCCACTTTTATCGACGATTATATCAAGCTAATCAATAATGTATGCCGTTATTCAATAAGGCAGTTTTCTTTCGTGGCTGAACTGTAAATGTTGATGAAAATGCATACTTAATTTAGTGTTAATTTAAACAATATACGTATTCGCAGTAAAGTACAATCTATATGTTATATATATTAAATGTCGAAAGCTAACAAGCGCCAGTTAGGGATTCATTGCATTTTTGAGAACAACAAAGACGTTGCCGTCATCTATCTGACACCTTAACATCAATGTTTATTTTATAGGTAACTCATGCACCCTAAAGGTGACTCACTGTCATGGAGACGTAACAGTTGCGCATCACGGTTCCTGTTCCGGAGATCTTGTTGTCAGTTAAATATACAATTTCAGTGTAGAACAATTGAATTCAATAAAGGCGCCACAAAAAAAAAAAAACAAAAACAAAAAAAAAACGTGTTATTTTTTTTTATAAAATTTCAAGTCATATGATTAACAAACTAGGTAACGGAACAAAATCAAATAACTTCATAACCAATGGCAATTTTCAAATATGGCCTTATGTATAGTTAAAATATTTTTGTTTTTTTCGAATGTAACAACAATATGTTGAATAATAATAAAAGACATAGAATAATTTGCTATTCAAATCAGAACATCGTAACTCCCGTAACTCCCGTAAGACTTATAATTGTTCTTTGACCATTTTGCAGATACACGAATCATGGTATGGGATTTTAAAGCAGACAGTATAAATAGGAAAACAAATGATTTAAACATAGATGCTAGAAATTACATTAATATATCTTTGATTTATACCGAGTCTTAACCATTAATTCTCGTTCTTGGTGATCTCTTCAACGAGGAACAATATATCAGGTCTCATGGCGTCTCTTTCAATTTCGTCTCGTTTACGAACATTGTCCACTTCAAATTTCTCAGCGTGCAGACTTGAATAATAATTAACTGAATCATAAAATTATTTCGCCATTAATGGAAATGTAGTTTCAAATATGACAAAAATCAAAACCTTTCACTAATTTATTGAATTACAGGCAACCGATTGCTAAAAAAGAAATGTCATATCAAAAGGAATGCAGAAAATAATGCTTAATTGAGACTTCCTAAAAACGCAATAATTTTCTGGTCGTCATGTAGAACTTTACGTTAATAAGTTTATGCTTGTGCAAAACATTATTTATTATTACATATTGGCTATACAGTGTAACACTTTCACATGTTAAAGACGCAATCAGTTCTATGAGATTTGCATTTACAAGCAGTCTTGTTACGATGAACAATAGTCCTATAACATAAGACGTTTCCGTTCATACTATACGTACACTCCAACGTCTTATCGACTTCTTCATAAGTTCCTTTAGCAAAATGCGCAGCGATTTTGAAGCGCTATATAAACCGTCGTAATTTACTACAAAAACAATATTTTGAGTAAACAGATATACAGACAGTAAATTTAAACATTTTTGCATCAATGTGCAGCAAAAAAATAAATGACTCACCTTCGTATGTAAATAAATCCAATCCAATTTCAAATCACACAAATTTCAGCCTGCCTGCTGTCCATTTCCTCCACTTCTCGGAACAGTAACAACCGAGGGCGCCCGAATCGATATAATTAAAATTCATTTTGACGAAAAAAATTTTACAGCAGAAAGATTAGTGATCGAGGCAATCCTCAGTCACTATCAAAAAAAATATTTTTTTGGGAATGATATGAAGTATTAGGATATTTTCTGTTACTTTTCTTAGTTTAAAAATATTATCACCGTTTATTATATATATAAGTAGATATGTATACACACAGATATACATACACTCAACTCCATTGTATACAGTATATAGTTGTATGAATATAATCGATTAAAGTGCAAGGACACCTCACCGTATCATCAAACTTGTTGATTTGTAAATTACATTTCCAAAAATGCTTTGAATCACCTTTCAGCCACAAAATATTGCTGACGATTTTTTTTCTAAAGTATTTTCTTGAGATAGATTCCTTCACGAAGAATAACACTAATGTTTCTTAACTCTTTAGATGAACCTTTTAAAATGTTAACCCCGCAAGAGCCTACAAACTTAATACAATAATGGTCCTTTTTGTCCTTTATACATGTAAATAAAACAAAAGAAAAAGTAAGAATCCCTAAAGAAAGTCCAACACGGCAAAATTGAAAATGTTGCGGGCTTGGCCTGATTGTGCATGTTCATGGACGGTACTGTCAAGTGCAAACTACTGACGGATAACATGGCGGATCATGGGCTTGCCACTGGTTCTTGTTGCTGGATCGTGTAGGAGTTGCGTTCATTGAACGCCGCCTTTCCTTTTTGATCTTGTTTATCATATTTTGTTCACAGAAGATTGGCCGTGCCAGTTTTTTTAATCATATATGGCATTAGATCCTCTGTTTCTGATTTGCTTAGCGCAGGCGGTGTACAGTAAAAAAATTCAAATCAGGTTCTTTTT